TAACAATAGTAATAATAACAATAATAACGAAAACGATATTATTAGGCATACTGAGGATAATAATAATAATGATAATGGTAGTAATAATAATATCATTAAAATTAATAATAATAGTATTGTGTTATAATAAATGAAAATGCAGAAGCGCAGTGCATACGTGATGCAATCGACGGCAGTTCTCGAGCCGATACTAACGGTTCGTCGTGGAATGTTACGTCTAACCGAAAGTCAACTGGCCCAAGTGCCGATCTGTGAATTGTTGTTGAACAGCTGTCGAATGTCACGTCTAGCCGGCCATTTGCAAATCGCTTGGGCGTATTTGGTGGAGGCGAAAGCGTTGAATGTCAACCATTTTGAGGTAGCGATGGAGGAGGCGAGATTCTTGTTTGAAAAGGTTCATTTGACATTTTTTATTCGTTAAATTTTGGGTTCTTCATCAGCAATATGTTACAACTCGGCTTATTATTTGTTATATATTTGGCTTATTATTTCATCCAGATACTTTAATTTCTTTTAATTGAATAGCCATCGTAAGTTATTGGGTATGAGTGAAATGTTTGGAGACGTTCATATTTTAGTCACTGAATATAAGCTTATTTTCATAATGATATTGAAGGGAAATCAAACGCAAGCAATTAGTATACTATCGAATTTACTCGAAGAGCGTTTCGGTGCAAAAACCAAACAATTGCAATCAGTTATTGAACAGCAAAAGAAGCAAACTGACATCAATCACACTCAACTCAGAGAGGCCCTCAAGAGTGAGCCGAAAGAAGAAAAAGATAATTTTGTCAAGGTACTTTTATTTTTACGTTTGAATTTATCTCTTTTCTTTTTCTTCTGATGTGTTCTTATTGCTCTGAGGATATCAGGATGAGTTAGAATTGTAATTGCTGATTAATTAAGTGAATCAGTGACTGATATTAGCACTGGATTGGTTTATTTGAGCTGATATTGAGTGAATGAAATTTTCGAGAGTTTTTAGGTTAAAAATTTTAAAAAATTTATGTTTTTAGGTGCAATTACTATTAGCAGATTATTCACTGAAGGCTGGCGCATGCAGTTTCTCGGATCTCTACTATAAATATCATGCGTTACCGTTGATTGCCGATCCATCAGAGGATTTGTATTATAGAGTTGCGATATTCTTGGATAATTATCTGTATAGCAAACATCAGGTTGGTGTTTTGTTATTTTGATTTTATCGTTTACTGAATATGTTGAGGTTGGTTATCGTTAATATGATCACTATCATTATTCTA